CGAATGTGCAAAATCTAATGTGACAGTATGCGGCATTACTTCGAGGAAAGAGCGGGCCTTGGAAGATGCTGCCAAGCTCACGGAGGCTGCACGGAATGACCCGAAAACGGTGCGGGCCTCGTTCAGCCCAGTGTTTTTTCGGATCGGCTCGCGATCAGGTCCGTTCGGTGGCCAACCAAATGCAGCGCACCAAGAAGGGCAACGAATGCCGGAACCCCAAAATCTCTCAAAGAAAGCGTGAGAAAAAGAACAGAAGCTGACGCAGGAGGTCCGGGTCCATGGGCCCAACCTGATAAGCTCCACTTGAGCTGCATGAGCGGAAGTCAGCGCGTCGAGGTTTATTTGGAAAAGCACGCATGCGGCGCAGGTGGCAGGTGTTGACTCCGCGATAGCGATATTCGTGGCATGGCGCACCCGTCGTCTCAAGTGGCTTGCGAAGGCCAAGCGCATTAGCGTGCATGGCGGCGCTGGAGTTGCCCCCGGGAAGGGCCCCAACCCGGTCGGTGTCTCAACAGCCTCGACAACCTCGACAGCCTCAGCAGCCTCGACAGCCCTCGACGGGGAGATGGCAACGGCCGGCATCCCTCGCTCTCGGCATTGCACTATGGCGGCGTGCCAGATGCATTGCCAGAGGGGGCCGCGGTGAAGTGGCTGACGTACTGGCTGACGCGGCGGAATTGCAAGAGGCTCCAGCAGCTCCAGGGTTTGGACGCGTCAGATACGCTTATCCCTGGTCCAGTGTACAAGCACATGCTTTCGAGCCTGCAAAGCAGCATCACTTTATTGACGGCTTGCGGGCAGGATACTTCTTCATGCTGCATGTCATTGCGTTTGCCTGTGGTCCTTCTACTTTCTCGTACCCAGCACTTGCGTGCTGTGTATTTCTGTTTGTGCTGCTCCAGACTCTGGGTATATCATTGTCATACCACCGGCATTTGACACATCGCAGCTTCGAGTGCCACAAGTACTTCGAGTGCCCCGGGCTATAAATCAGCGCGACACCATGCCACGGCCTATTTGGGTGCATCGCACGTCGCCAGCGTTCGCGCGATGGGCTTGCTTGCCAGGTATTTCATTGCCTGGTGTGGCGTCCTGAATATGCAGGGTAACCCTGTTTGGTGGGCCATGAACCATGCCTGGCACCACCAGCCCCTTGGCTCGCGAGGATACTGCCGTAGTTGGTTTGTTTTTCTTCGCGTGGTGAGGCATTCAGACACGCCAAGAGATCCCCACACACCCAGAGAAGGCGCCGGGGCCTGCGAAACCCTGCGCTCAACTTCCCTCGATTCATCCAAAACCGTGCAGGACTGTGGACAGCGCATGCGGGCTGGTTCTTCGAAAAAGAGCGAATCTTGTCCAAAATGCCGGAGGCGATTGTGGCAGCACATAACTCGAGCTCGTCGCAAGACTCGCAGAGCTCAGACTGGCGATTGATCCCTTGGTTTTACAAAGAATCCCCGGACTTCTATGACTGGCTGCGGCAGAGCTACTATCTGCACCAGATCTTTCAGGTCGTGTTTTTGTATGCGCTGGGCGGCTGGGGCTTCGTGGTGTGGGGCTTCGTGGTGCGGCTTTTGCTGGGCATCCACTGCGTCTCGGCCGTCAACAGCTTCGCCCACGTCTGGGGGGAGCAGCCGTGGAGGACCGGGGACGATTCCAAGAACAACTTCCTCGTGGCCATGGTCTCCTCCGGGGAGGGCTGGCACAACAACCACCACGCCTTCCCTCGATCCGCAAGGCATGGCCTGCTGGAGACGCTTGGCAATATGCCTCAATCAACAAAAGTCACAATATACATGTTCAGATTGCGTGTCTTCCTGTTACTGAGTCATGTTCGGCACGGCGTTGGCGTTGAGTCGCTCGCATCAGGGGGCAGTTCGATCTCACTTACGTATCTTGGCAGTCCGAGAGATGTTTTGGCTTTTTAACGTGTTTTTGATCATTTGCCGGAGGCGAAAGGCGGCGACTCGTGAAATCCTCTGAGGCCCTTATACAACTCCTGGAGAAGCTGGGGGTGGTTTGGAGGGTGCAGCTGCCTAGCGATGCCCAACTGAGAGCCAAGTCGCGTTAGCGAAATCTTCGAAGACATTCGAAGACATTCGAAGACATTCGAAGACCGAATCAAAATCCATCAAATCCTTTTTGGACTTCAGAAAGAAAGAGTTGCATCGGGCACTTTGCCATTCAGTTGCGCAGGTTGCCCCTCAGAAGGTCTCGCCAAGCTAACGTGCAATGGTCTTCAGCTGTTTCTGCTGTGTGTGTGTGCGCCTTTTTGCGGGCGCAAATGTAGGTTGCAAAGGCAAGACGCAACACGCCCCCTAAATGAATTCGCTCTTTAACACGCCCGCAACTTGGACTTTGGGGGGCGCGCTGGATCTCCTGTTCTTGCCTGGACGCACATGGATTGTGCTGTGTCAAGGCTCATGGTGACTTGTCCTGTCAGTGGCTGTGTGGCATCAAGAAGGGGACAGTTGCGTGACCCAAGGAACGGCTTGCACTAACAAGCAGCTTTTTGTTGTTCCACCGCCATAGCTAACACAGCCAGAAACACATTCAATCCTGAAGGTTTGCGTAGCTCAATTCCGGAGCCATGCCAAATGTGAGCGACCGGGAGCATGTTGTTTTGGTGACCTACATGAATGAAGTGAATCGGGATTTTGGGTATCTTCAGGTCAGCGCTGAGCACCACGGTTTGCTGCCTTTCATCATTGGCTATGGTGAGAGGTCCTGGTGGCCAGAAGGCCTGGGCCGGAAGGTCAACGCCTTGCGCCGCTTCGTCTTCTCAGATCGGTTTTCTTCACGGGACATCGTGCTGTTTGCGGATGCCTTTGACGTGCTGGTCTTCGGAGACTCGGAGAAGATCCGGCGCGGCTTTGCCGTGATGGAGCAATCAACGGGGAAGAGCATCTTCTTCCCAGCCGAGAGGAGCTGTTATCCACCACTGGCTGAGATATTAGACCGCTATCCAGCCTCATCTACGTCGGCGCGATATCTGAATTCAGGGCTTCTGATTGGCAGAGTCTCTGAGATCCGCAAGGCGCACGGAGCGACATGGGGAATTCCCGAAGTGTTTGCCTGCGCAAAGGTCGCCTGGTATATTCTGTTCGTGTTGCCGTGTTGCTGATCCCGGACTCCCCAAAGATTCGAAGAGGTCCTTGTTTTGGCCTTTTGCAAATGGCCATCGAAGCCTTTTCTCTCACCTCGCTAATGGTTGAAATTGGGGGCTACTCACCACCTTGCCTTCAAGCGCTGACCTCGTTAGTGGATTGATTTGAATCAGCCGTTCGGGTGGCGATGGTGAAAGGGTCCGGGAATTTTGTTGCTTTCTTTGGGTTTCCTTCAGCATCATTCGGTGGCCCATCCCCAGCCCCATCTTCCCAAAAGTTGTTTTTTTGGATTATGCAACCAAAAATGAGCCGTTCCAACAAAATGTCTTTGTCAGCCATGCGTGAAGGTGCTTGTGCCCGACCCGGTGAACGACTGGATGCAATATAGCGATCAGCTGTATTATCATGAAAAGTTTCTCGATAATCAGGACACTGCCTCGAAGGGTGGCTTTCGCCCAACAGACGAACTGACATGTCCCACGTTTGGTCCCCCAGGCCCCAAGCCGCTTTTCGAGCTTTCCGAATTCCAGGATGCAATTGGCTTGGACCGGGACTGCTCGCTGCTTTGCGTGGTTGACGGGAGTCTCGCGGACGTCGGCCTGCAGCTGCTCAACGGCACGGTCGTTCGCGAGCACTCGGAGCTCGGCTCGCCCTTGCTGCTCCATTTCCCTGGGCCTGGGCACTGGCCGGCCTGGATCAATGGGCTGCCATCCACCCATGTGCAGGATCGGGTTGCTCCATTTTCTGCCTTTACGGACATTCTCGAGCCTGGTACCGCCTGCAGTGTGTGTGGGTGATGGTCTTACACCGCTTCCGGCGAAGAATCTGCGAAATTGTTGAATTGTCTCTGTTTGCAATGGAGTTTGTACTTTTTCTCTGGCAGCCCAATCCTTGGCCATCCCCAAACAGCATTTGGCCCCCGGCAGCACACAACCATCACAACCACAAACGCGAAAATCCGCTATAGTTTCGCAAAGCCAAAAGGCCCAAAGACATCGCGCAATTGTGCCGCAACAGTCTCAGCACCACACATCTCGAACACCACCTGTAAATCAAGTTGAAAAGCCAAACCGACTCGGTGGATTTTTGTGGCGGATTCGGTGTGTCACGAACTTGACCCTGAGGATACATTTGCACAGGTGTACCCTGCCGAGCACAAGCTTCTTTTCGACAAGGTGCAGCTGACTCTGAGCATTCAAGGCGCTCTGGCTCCAAGGAGGACTGCCAAAGGCTCATGTCTATCGTCAGTGAAACCGGAGCCGGTCTAATGGTCACGGCAGGTTGCCAAGAAACGATGCCAAGGGCATGGGAGTGGGCAAAGGTGATGGCAGGGCGGCTTCAGGCAGAGCAGGTTTACATTATTCTTTTGCACTAGGAGACTAGGAGGCTAAATGATACGATTCTGCGCTTCATTTTTTACATTTCTTTGACTGTTGGATGGCTGTGAGCTGGCAACTTTGAACTCCAGTTTTCAAAGGAGTAGCGCGTTGGACCCATGCCGCAGGAGTCTCGAAGGTTTGGGCAAGGATTTGCTGCTTGGCTTTGTGCGCGGCGAGGCCTGCTTGAAGTGTGCCTGGGGAATGAGCCATCCGAAGCAGTGCAGGGAACTTACCTGGGGCAGCAGCAACTGCCCATCGGGCCACGCTACGCTCTTGCTTTTGCTTGTTCTGTGCTGCTTGTTGTTTTGCTGCTCTCGCTTCAGACGGAAGCCAATGGTCCTCCCAAGCAGCCGTGAGCCTGCAGTGGAGAAGGATGTGTGATGGCAAGAAAGGGCAAGCAGCGCAAGCTACGTTCAAGTCGGAGTTGTTTCTCTTCTTGAGACTTTGACCCCAATATTCCATTATGATGATGGAAGAGCATGGCTTGGCAGCCCTGAGATTGAGAAGTGATGTTCAAGCTGTGTTGTGTTTTTTAACAATGTCATGGCAAGCATGTAGTAATGTCGCAGGCCAGCCGTCATGTCAAGTCACCCGTGCTAGGCGCAAGGGGTCCTTTAGCTAAAGTGCTACTGGCGCCATAGGGTTGACGTGCGCTTTCCCATGCTCTTTTTGCTCCACGCCACATAGCAAGAGCGAAAAGGCGCGCGCTGCCTTGGCACAAGTCGGTAGCGGAGTTTTAATCCCCGCCGAGCCTTGGCTCGTTCTTTCGGGTATATTCTGACCCTTTTTGAGCTCTGGGGCCCCAACTCGGCTGTGTTTCTTGTGGCTCAGGCTCACACATTAGCACACTCATGCTGAGAGACAGGGCGGTCCGTGCCGCCATTCTCGCTATTTACCGCTTGATTGGGCTGTGAGACGCACAACCTTTTACAAGCTTGACATTCTGCATTGCGCATGATGATGCCTTATCATAGGTAATCCAAACCCTAGCCCTAGTTGCATGGGTAGTCTCACTGACGCAATCCCACCTTACCGATTGCGCATGGCTCAAGATAAACAAGCTTAGCCTCAGCCCGTTGTACAGAAACGCGCACCATGTGTACCGATCCGCGGTGATCCTCTACCGAGGCGCTCCCAACTCCTGGTGACCGGACTTGTTCACCAGGACGAAACAAGCAATAGGGAGTCGTGGACAAGAACGACCTGGACATAGTGACATCGCCATAGGACCCTCAGACCGATCTTGCAAGGGGAAACCCCATGCCACAGTCCAAGCAGGACAGCCTCCATCAGCAGATCACCACGGCACAGAACATTCCAGAGGCCTTCAGCTTAAGAATGTTTAGGAGCTCTTCGTGCAATCGTTGGCTTTAGCGCCGCCCAGGTATGAGCAAACGCAAAGATACGAGAAGTCTAGATCCAATGGCCGGTGCCGGCTCACCATGGAAGAGTATCAGAAGATAGCCCGACACGACGAGCTCCAGCAGCAGCTTGCGGTGGAAATCGAGAAGAATGCTACTTTCACAGGCCTTGTGCGCGCGCTGCGCGCGGAGAACTCGGATCTCCGCGCGGTGCTCCGCGTCCATATCCCGCAGCCGCTGGGCGTGCGCTGGTCTTGTACAAGGGGGTCTTTCTAACACGCGTGCGCGTGCGCGTGTGCCTGTGTGTGCGCCTGTCTGTCTGTCTGTCTGTCTGTCTGTCTGTCTGTCTGTCTGTCTGTCTGTCTGTCTGTCTGTCTGTCTGTCTGTCTGTCTGTCTGTCTGTCTGTCTGTCTGTCTGTCTGTCTGTCTGTCTGTCTGTCTGTCTGTCTGTCTGTCTGTCTGTCTGTCTGTCTGTCTGTCTGTGTGTCTGTGTGTCTGTGTGTGTGGGGGTGTGGGGGTGTGGGGGTGTGGGGGTGTGGGGGTGTGCGTGTGCGTGCGCGTGCGCGTGTGCGTGCGCGTGTGCGCGCGCGTGTGTGTGTAGGTAGGTGTGGAGGATGCAGGGTGGCGATTTATGGCGGTTTGCTAAGGCCTGAGGCATCCACTGGTTTGAGCCGCAAGTGATGGCCGCTTTGTAGATGGCCGCTGTGAGTGGTAGCTCGCTGTGAGTGCTAGCCGCTGTGAGTGATGGCCGCATATGGCCACTGTGAGTGAGGCCGCTGTGAGTGGTGGTAGCTCTGAGTTTAGCGCAGCGCACGCCTTGCTGCAATTGGGGCACATTTCGACAATGTGGGGGATCTCTGGGGGTTGCACAGTCCTCGTGGCAATCATCGCCGCGAATCGTGCCGATTCGATCCGATTCTGATTTGAACAAAGGCGCTTGATTGCTCGCGGGTCGATGGGGCGGAAGCACGGATTTTGCACATGCCAGAGGAGTTTCCTTAAAGAGCGGCTCCCCTGCGCAGAAAGCCCCAGCTGTCGGCGATCTTCCAGCGCTTTGAGAGAGACTGAAAAAGATCTTGGATTAGCTTGGGCTTTGGGCTCCTGTGTGGCTCCAAGCCATTTAGCTCTTTTGGTGTTTAGTGGTAGTTTCTACTAAAATGACCAACGCAGGGGGTTTGGGAGTTGCCAAGGCTTGGTCTATCCAAACTGTTTTGTGGGCTCTAAATAGCAAACCAAGTTATCAGATTCTGGGGTGTAACGGAAACCTTATCAGATTCTGGGGTGTAACGGAAACCAAAAAGGCAATCGTCCACTTTGGGGCCCCAACAGTTGATGATCCATTTCTTTTGGAATGGTGGAGTCTGGGTTCTCGCCGTTCCTTTCGCTGCTTCAGGCAAGTTCGTGCACTTGGGCGCAAGCCCGCTTCAGCGCTTGCAAAACATCTTGGAAGGTGACCCCGCGCACGCGAGAGGACGCCAGATTCCACGCAATGATGAACAAGCATCTCAGCACCAACATCAAGCGTGGGGCAGGACTTGTTATTTGTAAGCCTCAATTCCGTGATTGCAGGGATGACCCATGAACAGAACGACAGCCACGCCAATCCTCGCAGAGGGTCGTGCGCATGTTCAGAAGCCGAAAAGCTCCAGTTCTTGGACGTCGACCACGCAGAGGGCCCCGCGTGCGCCGCAGAAATCGTAACAAGTGCGTGGTTATTTGACATCGACTGCTCCGATCTCCGCAGAAAATTCGCGCGAGCGCCACAAAAAGCCGATCAAGCCCACAAATGCATAAGAATATTGGCCAAGATATTTGCTTAATGTAGTATACCGAAAACCTCTCGTGCAAATCTCTTGTGGAAGTTGCTACTGCAACTCGCTAGTGCTATTTGCTATGCGCTTGGCTTTGAATATAAGGTGTACCTTCTTAGGATTGATTCGAAAATGTGTTCACGATTTGTTCATCTTATTAAGAAATGTTAACTAAATAGAACTGAACAATAATCTAGAATCCGCTTATTTGTATTCATATAGTAGTATTTGGTTGTTATATATATATTATTTTTTTTGATGTGATGACAATAGGATTCGGAATTTGTAAATTAGTTACTTTTCACTTTGCAAATTTAAAGCTTAGATGAAACTCTTAATAATGTACGGTGTTCATGTTTGCGTTTGTAGAGGCATACCGCCCCATTAGGCTGATGATGATGATGGTGATGATGTATAAATGGTCCATCTCCTTCTGCCAAAAAAACCCCGCAAAGATGTCGAAACCGAGTTGCCAAATATGCTATAGGATTTAAGAGGTGGAATTTATCTCCATTTGGCAAACCCAGGACTCACAGGAAGTACTAAGCTTTAGGGACCTCTTGATAAACAAAGAAAGTCCGAGAAATAGCTCCCCGTTGTTTCCTTCCCTTTGCCACCACCCAGTGAGATTGGCCACTGTAAGTAAGCCGCCTAAAGCAATGGTCAGGAAAACCCTCTAAGCGGCATCTATGATGGGCGGTTTTAGCGAGACCTGACGGATTTGCGAAAACGACATTGGTAGTCACTTCTTCGAGCATCATGGGGGGGGGCCTGCCCCCCCGCTACGGGATTGAGATGCACCCCTGTTTGAATCATCATTTTTTCGACGCCCGCTACTTTTTGGATTTTTCTACCCACGGTTTGTTGGTGCTGGAGGTGTCTTACTGGCCAAGACGCAGAACTAAAGAAAACTAGACACCGATTATCCCGAATGCGAGTATGAGAAAGGCACTGCAAGACATGTTGCACAAAGTGTCAGTCAGCAAGCGGCGGCTCTTCATAGCAGCTTCGGCTCCATGTGCGCAAGCTGTGGCTCTTGAAACGCCGGATGCACGCAGCCAACATAGAGCGGCGCTTGCCAGCAAACAACGGAGGGCCATTTTTTTTAGGAATTGTTTTCGTTTTTTTTTAGGAATTATTTTTGTTTTTCAGGGTCGGTGGCTTTTCGGCTTTTTGGCTTTTGTGGCTTTTACGTGGGTTTTTGTGGCTTTCGTGGCTTTTCATTTCGCATCATCTGCATTCACAGTTCCTCTCTTTTCGCATCCTCTGCATTGCCAGTTCCGCTGCGGCAGGTGGCTTTTTGGCTTTTTGGCTTTTTTGCTTTTTGGCTTTTGGCGGCTTTCTGGCTTTGGCTTTTCGCATCCTGATGCTTTCCCAGTTGGCTTCCTGCATCCTCAGCATCGCAAGTTCCTCTCTGGGCCCCCCGCCACCCTTTCGATTAAAATGAACGCCTATTTGAATCATCACTTTTTCGATCATCATGCGACAGCTACTTTTTAGATTCTTTGCCCCTATTTTTTCGATCATCATGGGGGGGGGGCGTTTTACAGGGATTAGTTTGCCCGTATTTGAATCCTCACTTGTACCATGAGGCCTTGCCGCAGAGGAACTGATGACCCCCCTGCTGTTTGTTTTTTTTGCCCTAATTGAATCATCACTTTTTCAATCATCATGGGGGGGGGGCTGCCGCCACCCCCAACCCCCCCGCAATTTTTTAGACCTTTTGCCCCTGATTGAATCATCACTTTTTCGATCATCATGGGGGGGGGCTGCCGCCCCCCCCAACCCCCCTGCTATTTGTTGGACTTTTTGCCCCTAAATTGAATCATCACTTTTTTCGATCATCATGCGACCGCTACTTTTTAGATTCTTTGCCCCTAATTTTTCGATCATCATGGGGGGGGCTGCCGCCCCCCCCCCAACCCCCCCGCTATTTTTTAGACTTTTTGTCCCTGATTGAATCATCACTTTTTCGATCATCATGGGGGGGCTGCCGCCCCCCCCCCAACCCCCTCCCCACGCCTTTAATTGAATCATCACTTTTTCAATCATCATGGAGGGAATTGCCGCCCCCCCGCCCCCAAAAAATACATAAAATGGCACTTCTAGCATCAAACCCAAATAATCAAACAGCATACAACAAAATCAGCAAAATTCACAGAAAACAAGATAAGAACCACCAAGCAACTCAAAAACCAGAACAACCCCCAACAAAATATTTAATCACAGCATACAACATTAAATAATTCAAACAAGCATACCAACAAAACAGCAAAAATAAAAACCATCAAAGAACACAAACTCAAAAACACACATCAACAAAAACAAAGCAACATACCAAC